TTGTTAAAACGCCTGAAAACATCTCATAAACTTATTGTAACACTTTTACATAGAGCCTTTTTTGTTTGGTCTTATAAACTTATTAATTCATATAAAACATTTTATTAAAACACTTATACATTTTAGACGTTCTTTAACCCTAATGTTCTTGTAGTGTGTATGCATGTAAATACCCATAAAAAGTTGTTTAAAAAWTCGTTACTGGAGTATGGAGTCGGACAAGTGGGGAATGTTRGKGTGAATTAGAAAAGTTTGGCTAGAGTCGAATCTAAGTGTTGGCTAGATAAACATCATGTAGTAAGATGAGTAGACATGAACCATGTAGACCATCTACAGGGGGTGGTGAAGGAAGGGCCCCGATTGGTAGGAAAAAAACCACAACCCCTTGGGTTATCCTAGGCTTGGAAAAAGACATAGAAGAATAAATATAATGATAATTTGACTCTTCATCGTCGTAGTAAATAGGAGAGAAAATAAATCTGGACAAACGTCGGGAATTTATTTTAAAAAATAAATCTGGGTGAATGTCGAAAATTGAACCGGTGCATGGTGGATTCAGAATCCACCGCTTTGATCCYCTTGGTTACATCGACCCCTGTTTATCTAGTATTATCTATTATTACTATATTTTATTTTTTTTCATAAATATATTATTTGTTTCTTATTTCTGAAATAAAAGCAATAAATATGGAGTGGGTGCATTAAAGTTGAAATATATTGATTTGTTATTGTTTGATTTATTTGATCGTTAATTAGTTAAATATTAAAAGGTTTCTGTTTACTAGAAGATTAGAAGTTTGAGTCTAGAAGGAGAGGTAGGAAGTCAATATATATTTTTAACTTATAAAAGCAATATGGAAATAGAGAATAAGTGGACCAAAATCAATGTTATTAATGGTCTGTTTGTGTTTTCAAAATTACTTCTTAATAAAGTCTGATTCGTTTAGACGTTTGGGTAATAAAAGCATTTGTTTTATTTCTAAAATAAAAGCTTAAAAGATCTAAATGTCCTTTAAGATTTTAAGTGATAAATGTATCACTTAGGGCCGTTTACCCAATTGCTTACCCGGTAAGCGCTTACAAATAGGAGTCAACGCTATGATTTATTTTGATGCGCAAGATTTTAAACATCAAAACATATTGAATGCAACAATTTACTGGGTAAGCGCTTACCTGGGTAAGAGTCGTCATCCTCACTTACCAGATAAGACTCTCCATCATTCTCATCACTTTTACCCGGTAAGATTTTTGGTCATTCTCATGTTCATCCGATAAAAAAATTTATCCGGTAAGCACTTACTAGTAAACGGCCCCTTAATACCTCTTAATCCTAATACGCCTCTATCAAATGGTTCATAGTTTGGGGGCTGGAAGGAATTTGTTAACAAAAACTATTT